GTTCGGGGCTCGGTCGCTGTCTTAGGGGAGAAGGCGCCCGCTCCGCCATGGCCGAGACGATCGCGGACACCCGGCGGCTGATCAGCAAGCCGCAGAACCTCAACGACGCCTACGGGCCGCCCAGCAACTTCCTGGAGATCGACGTGGGCAACCCGCAGACGGTGGGGGTGGGCCGCGGCCGCTTCACCACCTACGAGATCCGCGTCAAGGTGAGGCAGCGCCGGCCCGGCTCGGGAGCCGCGTTGGCGGTGTCGGGCTCTCGTGTCGCCCGGGGCTGGCCGGGGGGGCGGTGACGGGCTCCCGCCGCCGTGTCCTTCAGGACCCGTGTCACGGCTACTGCGGTGCGGGGCGGTGGCAGAGCCGCAGCGGTTTTAAAAGGTTCTCCATCCTCGGCCGGGGGTTGATAACTGTGTGACGGACTCCTGGTAGCTAAGGGGATGCAGCTCGGTTCAGATAACCAAACGACAGGTGCTCTTTTGGTTCTGCTGTGTACAGCTTGTCCTCAGACTGAAATATCGCTGTACTGTGAACAATTGCATGTGTGTCTCCAGGTAAATAGAGCAAACTCTCCGCTCTCTGAGATGGAGTAATATGGGTGGATCTGCCCTGAGGGGGAGGTCAGGAGGTCAGGATTCCAGCATCCTCAAAAAGTGAGGTAGAGAAGGTGTAAGTAAGTCTAATGGGCACACTCGCTAGATCAGAGCCAGATGAAGCGATGAGGTGCGTGTGGGGCGGGGGAGGGCTTACTGTTTTCTTTTGTACCTGAGATAAAATTGTAGTGCCTAATAAATAGGGCTGTTTCTCGCAATATGCTGCTGTCAAATACTTTGTAACACTAGAATCCTTCCTAGCTGGAAGGGTTGTGTTCAGTGACTTGCCCCAAAGGCTAGTAGTCTTGAGCTTGAGAAAAGCTATGTGAAGTCATTACTGTGTTCCCTGGCTTTCTAGTTTCATAAACAGGGCCCAGAGGTCAAAAAATGCAGTGTCTTGCCTATGGCTGGTAGGGCCTTGAAGCAGGGAACGCTTTTTGGTCTCCATTGCCAGAAAAAAAGAGGCTGGGTTGAGAAAGCTGAATACTTACAGATGGGTTTTTTTTATAGTTCGCAGTTGAGTCTGCTACCTTGTGTAGCTTTACTCTGTTACAACTGATTGAACCTGGTCAGTTGTTACAGTCAGTAATGAAGGGTGAAGCTTCACTGACACCCTGCACGCATTTTCTGCAATATGAGTTCTTCACAGCAGGGAAGGATACAGCTGAGGGCTGCTGCCTTGATCACTAAAATTCACTAAACAGGACTTAACCTTGTGTGAATTTTCTGGTTTTAAAGGTCTAAGTCCCCAGCTTGGTGTAACCTTACTTAAAAAAACAAAATCAGCTGAAATCTAAAACTACTAGGGAAGATACTCCTTTATTTCTGATGCTTCTAAATTGTGTTCAGTAGCTATTTCTGTGTTTCAGGTTGTGTCAGTGCGGCAGGAAGAATAAGCCAACGTGCCTGTAGCCCACGTTTGGCCTCTGTGTGAGGTCAAACTAGAACTTGCAGATTTGTGTTGCATTGCACTGCCCTTATCAGAACCCTAGCAATCCACTTAGGAAGAAAGATGTAATTCTACCTTGCTGGAAAGTATTTGCACCTTAAGTTCCTGATGACGTTTCTTTCCATGAGACTGAGCATTTGGAATGGCTGGATACAGGGAAGATGATCCAAAAGGGACTTGGCCATGATATGGCCTTGGGAATTAGGTCAAATTTCCTGTGATTAAAAAATAACGCTTTTTTTAAATACTTAGCTGAAGTTCTTCTTCAGAAAGGGAGGCAGGAAAACAGGTTTTGAGACAGGTTAGTCTTAGCCCACCTGCTGTTTGGGGTAGAAAATTTTGGATTCCTGTTGTAATGAAGACCAAGAATGATTTGAACAAATGTATGCTGTGATAATACTGTGACCTTCCTCTGTTCTTCCTCCCAGACTGACTGCTATGTAAACATTGCATCCTCCACCCTCCTTGCTTGCATCTGTACATTCTGGTATGCAGGACTGTCTCTTCGATCATTCTATTTCCAGTTGTGCACTGCTCTACACATGGTTCATAGACACCATCAACTGTAAAACTGAGTTTTATATGTCTGTGTGCTGGAAGGCTACAGGGCAGGTAATACAAGTCATGCAGAATTATGTTCACTGTCTAAATTTATATCAATTAACTGCTTCTCAGCAGAACACGGACCATGTCTCTAATACACAAATTTCAGCACAGAGAAATAATTCGAACATGAATTGCTGTGGTATTGTATTTGTGAAAGGTAGGCCTAGTCCCATAAGCTGCTTGTTGGAGTGTGGCTGACAGTGGTCACCAGCTGGCCTCTGTGGTTTGACAACTGCCTATGGTCACAGAAAGTAAGAAAGTAGCAGCTGAAATTGCAGTTTCCCCCTGCAGTGCTGGTGGTAGTGGCAGAGCAAACCTGAGAAGATGGTGTGAGTTACCTGTATCATATCTGGAGAGCCATGTCTTCAAGTAACACCAACAGTAAAATGTTAAGTGTGCAGAAATGGATGGCTTAACTGCTGCCAAATTCTGGTGAAAGCTAAAGGACAGTAGCCTCATGTTACAGCTGGAGATCATTCTAAGCCAGAAACGTCAGAGAGGATGCTGAAATTCAAGTTTGTGTTGAGACAATTACACTTGTACCATTGTCATGGTGTTTACAGACTCTGTAATTCTATCTTTGTCTGAATCTCAAAGCTTCACTTTTGGGATTTTTTGGGAAAACTGAGCTTGCTAGCAGACTCTTGAACTGATATCCGATAAAAATGTGTCTGAAATACTGCAGAGTTTACCCAAAGCTTTTATTGGCAAGCTTTCTACTGGTACTGCAGTCGAAGCATATTTGTTGTCTGGAAAGCAGTAAATGGAAAAACTTCATTCTTTAGTTCTTGTAATGCTGTACTCATCAAATTCTGGTGGAAGTCGGGAAGCCTGATGGGGAACTCTAAAGTTTTGGGTAGGCTGCTCAGCAGTACACTACTGTATAAGCCATGCAATAGTGTTTTGGAACTTAAGAAGGTTTAAGAAGGAAAGTGAGTGTCTCTGTGCAGGGTGGCTGTGTGTTGGTGCTTTGACAAGCATTTAAGAAGTCTTGAGGGGAGTGCTGCAAGTAGACCCTGTGCAGCACTTCTAGCCAGGCAGATTACTTCACAGATGGACAGTTGGCCAAAGTATTGACTTTCTGAGCCTGAGTCTGTGCATTAAATAAGAGTCTGTTCTTGGCAAGCTAGACAAGGTGATGATAGAAAGCTTTCCACTGGTAGCAACCACTGTAAGGCACACAGTGTGGCTGTGTGCCACCACAGTGCAGCCTAGCAATGAAAGT